TCATACCATATCATACACGATTCAAAGAGGTAAAGGACCAGGTTCTGGGTCGGACCTGGTCCTGGGGATTGGTTTTACAAATAGGTTCATCGAACTCATTGATTTGTCCACGCTTGATCTGATTGGTTTTGTTTTTTGGTGATGTCTTATCGGTGTTTTGAATAGGAGCTTCAACGTGCTTGAATTGTGGTGTGATTTGCAGAGGATGACGGGCATGGTTGTGTCATTGACCATCAATGAAGAGGGCTGTCAGGGCAAACTTCCTGATTAGACAATGCTCCCCATCATGCCATATTTGAGGCTCTTGATAATGACAATAAGTTGGGTCTGCCCTATTACCTGTAACAGTCAGAAAAAATCACTATTTTTGAACAAGACCTTTACTAACCATCATCATCCACTGGCAACCAAGTATTAGGATAGACCCAAACAATATAGTGGATTCTATTGGCTTGACATCTGGGGGACTTCCAGAAACATGCGTCCGGACAACTGTCTTGAGAAGTGGGCAAAATACGGAATCACCTGTAAACCATTGTCTTGACATGCCCCTGATGCTGTAATCATAGAAATATTGAAAATGTAACAGGCAGGCAGTCTTGAATTTTTTTCCGCTGTGGGTTACACTCTGACTGTGTTTGGTATAAGTACGCTGAAACAGACGCCGTGCCCCCTCCATCCCGGATGCACCTGCCAGTGGCTCTGATGCCCGAGGCTCTTCCACCAGCACTCCCTTCGTTCCCAGCCCGTGGCCACCTACGAGCGCTTGCGCTTGTTCCTGGGAGCCCGAAAGCCCTTCCCTGCAGAGACGCGCTTCGCGCGGAGGAATGTGATGAGTGGCCATCGGACAGAGCTTCGGACAGAGCAATCACTGTTGTGAGACGCGCTGACAGCAAAGACCTTGGCAATCACTGTGTTAATTTTCTTTTTACATGTTGTGTTATGTTGTGTTATTTTTGCATAATCTCTCGAACTTAGGCACCCTCTCTTATGTCAATTAGCAGCTAGCCCATGCCAGTGTGTCGCTCGAACCGGCACTATTGTTTGATTTCGTTTGTGGTGCGGTTCCCGGATCATCCACATCATTGACGCAAACGTTGGACCTCAAGCAAGGACAGCGGCGGTAGGTGAACACAAGCAAGCAGTGTACATGAGGGTACTCCCATATGTACTCCAATTCTCCAGAAGTTCAAACTATTGGGGGTTTGGAGCCACTGCCGTCAGTTGGGGTTTGAAGCACTGCCGTCAGTGGAACCTCAATCGCTGTTTGTTTGTTGTTTGATTGTCCAAGAACATGTAACATCGAAGTGGAACGGGCTTCCCATCAAGACAACTTTCCTCCAAAAACTGGACTTTTTCCTCCACCATGCTGGTTCAACAGGAGTATGTACTAAAATATACATATAGGAACCAGGCATGGGACCTAAGTGTTTGAGACGCGCTCATTCTGTGGTATGGCATAAACCCAGACAGTTCAATGGTTCACAGATGTTGTGACTCTGGTGATAGACTCTAGTCGTGCTCAGGACATAACTTCCATGTGCTCGGTTTGAAGACGCAGTTTGGATGGGGCCAGCCAAGAATGTCCAGAATTGCCTTAGGTGATGGGGGCCAGTTTTTTGGGTCTAAAATGATGCAGTTCGTTGAAGTGACACTCTCCTGCCGTGGGCCTTGGGAATATGGTAGAACCGGTCTATCAAGAATATAAGAAGAAACACTTAACAAGGTCATAAAACTCGATTGCGGCATATTGCGGCATTGGAATCCATGTGTTTTGTTTTGTTCCATTCCTTGTGGTAGTCAGAGCTGTGGTAGTGGCGCCTACTCCCAAACGGGTGTACCACTGGAATCCCCAAAATCCACAAACTCCCAAGACTTTCTGGGAACCCGTTCACTCAGTTTTGGCTGGACCCATTTAGTTAAAACAAATATACGGCATACGGCGATGATGTCTTTTCCAAGGTTTATTTTGCCCTGTGACCGGTGTGATCCTCCCAAAAACCAGCACCAGGCACCCACCCACCTGGTGTGGAACCCACGGTCGACCTGCTCGGTCGACTGAGGAGCTCTGCCGGAACGCCTCGTTGGAAGAACGTCTGGGGCAACTCTTGGCCCCGGAGTTCCAAGCCATCGAGGCCTGGCGGCTCGGCACCGATGTGGGTCCGTTGGTGCGGTTTGACACGGAGGTTGGGTTCGGACGCGCGACCGGTGTGACCGGTGTGAGGGGCTGGAGAAGATTGACTCCAAAATCAGTCCAGGGCTGGTTTCACTCATTGGTTTTGCATAGAAAGTAGTGTTCCATGGTCCATGAATTGTGGAGTTTTTGGGTGTTTGTTCTGTGGCGTGTTTCTGCAAATCGTTTGATTCATCGTGTTTTTGTTCAGGAAAGCTGTCGCAAAAATGACATCGACCAGGTGTTTCAGCATGCAGTTCACCTAGCTGGATCCAAGCACCTATAGACACTTTGCTAGTTGCCAGTAAAATGATCATGTTATTTTGGATCAAAGGTTTTGTGTCTCGAACCGCTACTACAGGTCGTTGTTTGTGCGAAAATCAGGGGTCAAAGTGCTTCTGGGATGAGAAATGAACAGAATGAGCTGCCTTCAATGGAATTTTCATGTTTGGTTCTGAGGAACTGTGGTTTTAACTTAGATCTTCTTGGCTGGTGGGCTCGAGCCCCTAGACCATGAACTTTGTGAGTGACAATTTCTCATGAGTCATGAGTGTTTTTAGTCTTTGTTCGCATGATGTCCACTCAAGTCTGTTGGTCTTTCAGCACAATTGGCTTTGTTTTACTGCCTTCGGTCTCCGAAGTCAATACAGACCCCGTTTCAGAAAAGACACTCCACCCCACCACCACCCCAAAAAAACCACGGCCACCATGTGCGACTTAGTCCGCCAGCTTTGCCTCTGACCACACCGGGAGACCGATGCCGGTCCGCCAGCAATCGTGGAGTCGTGCCTCCCCAAAGTGAAGTACACCGCCTCAAAGTGAATGTCAGGAGTCAGGAAGATCCAGAATTCTCATGAATTCTCAACATCAAAGGAGGTCTCATGAGGTCTCACAAGAATTGTCATTGACATGTGTTTGAGTTCGTCCTGGAAGAGACCCACCTCCTGGTCGTTTGCCTCCACGCGCCAGGAGGCGCTGCTGGGCGCTCAGGAGCCGCTCCCGGAGGAACTGCTGCGGCGTTGGACTCGCTGCCATCGGCTACGTGAGGAAGACGCAAAAGACATCGCGGGAGACCCGAGACCGAAGAGGAGGTTCACGAAGTAGACATAAAATGACACAAACCAACAACATAGAAAAAACATGTTCAAACGTTCAAACGATTTAATATAGAGTATAATTACGTATAATAATTGGATGCATCTATATATATATAGTTTTAAAAAGAGGTATAGTTACGTACTAATTGGATGCATCTATAATTTTAGAATGATTGATTACCGTATTACCTTTTGTAAGACTGAATCATATTGTGTGTAAATTTGCATGGATTTGTAGGACATCAACATGTTTATACCAAAGGCTACCAAGTAGCAGGGTCTTGCAGGGCAAGTTTCCTCAGATGTCTCGGTCGAAACGGTGAATGGACGGTGGATGGGCTTCTTTCTCTGAGTTTGATGGGAGTTCCCTAGGGAAAACGTCTTCTTGAACGAGCAGACCAGCAGTGAGATGTGTCTTCCGTGACGGTCCAATGCACTTGGAATCGGCATCCCGGACAGATCCGGACTGGAATAGGTTCTTGGAAAGGTAAGGACTTACGAGATGTGCTGTTTTGCATGGTACAATATGGTATTCACAAAAGTGTTGATGTGCAATTGTTATTACGTGTTGATCCTTTTCAGCTCTCTCCGAAGCTCACACTGCTCGCTGCTTAGTCCAGGTATGAGAACAGTATAGCATTCCAAAGACTCAAGAGTTTCCGGGTGATGTGCCCAAGACGAATTTGTCAAGACTGACTTGCCCTCCTCGTCTTTGTGAAGCGGCTAGTTCCTAAGAACACTCAAGGACCAACCAAGGACCTTATTTGGCCCAAGTGCATTTGCAGCTTGCATGACGATTGGCAAAGACCATTCCGAGGAAATCAAAAACACCTGACACTCAATGGTGCATCTCAACCTTGGGCATAGACTACTTCCTCAAGGATTGATGATATGCAGTACCCATGCAGTCAAAACACTCCCTCTGATGGGAAAGGCCAGCATAGCTAAGCTATGCTAAGCTCATTAGACTCAGAGAGGCTTACTTGGAACACCTAAAAACCAACAGAATAGACATGAATAGACCATCCACATAAAATGTCTATCCGTAGAAGGACTGCCAGATATCCCAGTGCCACAAAAGCAAAGGATCACGAAGACCATCCGTGCTCTTAGACACCTTTGGAGGCACCGCTTCAGAGGCACAGCTTCAAAAGTAGCGTGGCGAGCACTTCAGGACGGTGCCATGGCGCAATGAGAGCCGTGCAGGCGTCGCGCAAGCGTCGCGCCACCGTGACGCTGGGGTGCGACTGGTGCGACTGAAGCGACAGCTTTTGGGAGCAGAGTGAGACATATCAAGCTGATCAATCTACTAATGATTCATGATGAAGAGGTCCCATGGAGGTTTGTGATAGAGGTTTGTGGAGCATCAGGATCATAGCAAGAAGCAGTTCAGTCTCTGGGACTGTCCGTAGGCGAGGTTCGGACTGGACTGCAGTGTTCAGGCTCCAAAGAGAACCACACAGAACTAACCTGAATCAAGCTGTGTTCATCATGGCAGCAACAAAATGGGATGAGAAAGCATCCGCGATTTCGGAATTACCCAATAGGAGTTTGGTCAGATACTCTATAGAATTCACCGCCCTACCAGCATTCACATTCAGCTCCATAGAAGCAAACAATTGGGGTCTACATAATAGTGAAGTCTTGTCCGGAAAGGCTCATCCCAGGAGCCTGACATTTCAGCAGAAAATAGAAGCGCTCCTTGTTGTAGAGCAGCTTCGTTTGCGGCTATGAGCTCAGCTCCTCACTCTGAAGGCCCTGAAGCTAAGCGACCGCGACACGAAGGCATCGTTGACCTGGACGTGGGAGGCACTCCATTTCGCACCACGAACATGACGTTACAGAAATCCCCGTTCTTTGCCAACCTTCTCGATTCTGGGTTTGGCAAGTTGGGTCACTATTGCTTGTTCTTCTTTCCTGGGGGAAGTCATTGGACGTTCCAATGCGGTTGACACTATCCCAAAACTAGGTCCTTTGTACCGTGGATGTGGAGAAAACATATTTTGATTACATAAGTTTTAATATGTTTTAATATAGAAGAGGGCAGTTTTTTCGCTAGATGTCCATGTTAGCTCAGAAGACCTCTGTCCAAGGACTGCGAGGGCGAGGGGCCTGTGTTTGTGGACCGCTGCCCACAGCTCTTCGCCCAGGTGCTGCAGTATTTGCGCAGTGGGCGCGGTCCGCGGTGCGCGACTCCCGCAGAGCGCGATGCCCTCGCACAAGAGTTCGACTTCTTCGGGCTGGATGAGTCGGAGGTCTCCTTGCCGGAGCAGGTGGTGCTTACAGAGCAGTACTCTTGGCGCAAACACAAGGAGACAAGGGTCAGCGCGAAGGTGAAGACTTACCAGAAAGAGGGATATCAGATCACACATCTGTCATCCTTTGGAGGGACGGAAGATGTCGTTGGCTGCACATTCGTGCTGGAGAGGTGACCAAGGCAAAGGCATGGAACTCGTGGTAATTGGGTGCTTGTGGAGGCGGCTGCCAGCTTCACGAACGGTTGACCTGACTTATGTCACCACTCAAGGTTGGCTTTTGGGCGATGCAGCTGGAGTGTGGGGTGAAAGAAAGGCAAACACATACTGCTGTTTCCTGAAGCCTGTTGTGATGGGCACTTGTGCCAGTGGACCGCCGGACACAGGGCAACACGTCGAGAGACCAACGGCGCTTTGCTTGGAAAAATGGTTCTTGCAGTTCCTGCTGATTGAAGGGTGCAGTGGATACCGATTTTCAGTAGACGATGATTTGTTTTGGGGGGGTCGGTGGGGTAGAGAAGAGATAGAATCGTTGGTTCAGAGCGGAATGTCTTGCGAGTCCGGGCAACACTCCAGTGGGCAAGTCGGGAAGTCCAAAGCTCACTAGGACCAAGTCTGAGGGCTGGAAGACAGAGTTTTGCACGCACCAGTTTTGTTACCTTGCACACTGTGCTATGTTTCAAGCCCCGCACAAAGAACAACTTGAGGTGGAAAGTCATCTCGTGTACAGATCTAGATGGCTTGTTGTGGGAGGCTTTCTCAAACTCATCCGCTCCTGGGGAACCTGAGCAATGAATGTCAGGCTTTGCTGAGAGCAGCGTGGCCGCATTGGGCATTGGGTATGCAAAAGGTCCGCTCGTGGATTCTTGTTCGATATTTCTGGTTCGTTTGGCTCAGGGACCTCTTGCACGAAGTGCCGCTGCGCCACCAAGCGCTGGGAAGGCACCTGCCGTTGCCGGGGTGCTCAGGGGAACTGATTGGACCGGTAATTCGCAGGCTGCAGACTGCTCTGTATGCATAGTACGACCAGTATAGCAAAGATAGATATCCAACACTCAAGGGTTTCATGTGTTTTTCATGAGCCACGGCTGAAGTTCTGTGCGTGCAGTCTTCTACCTTTCAATCTTTCGGCTCCAATGGTCCAGTACTTTTTCATTCGTATATACACAGCTGGCGTGCAAGACAGGATCCCTGGAGTTAACAAAATCATAAACAAACAAAGAAATTATGTCGATGAAGCAAACCCGCAACTTCGCAACCCAGTGGATCGATGATTGAGTGGGACAAATCCTGCGAACAGAAGACGATTCAGAAACTAGCTCCGATCCTTAAACTACGATGCGACTTGCGATTCTGACTGAGTGTCCCGATTCAGAAACTGGCCGATTCAGAAACTACAGGGTGTCCCGATTCAGAAACTCCCTCGATTCAGAAACTGGCCGATTCAGAACCTGGGGGGTGGGGGGTGGATCTAATGAAATGTTTGTTTTGATGTAGCGCGGACATATTCGTACTTCACAGACCCGATTCAGAAACTATCCGATTCAGACCCGTTCTAGTTTCCGAATCCGCGTTCATTCTAGTTTCCGAATCCGCGATCCTTCTAGTTTCCGAACCCTATAGTTTCCGAATCCGCGCCATGCCTAGTTTCCGAATCCGCGGCTTTAGTTTCCGAATACGCCGATATATCGTTGGCAACTTGGGCGCGCCTGCGTCCTCAGTTCAATATTTTGATCTACAACCTCAGATGTTGCACTGGAAGACCCTATCTGGTTCTACAGTTTTAAGGCGCCGAAACCCAAACCCTGAGATGCTTAAATCGATTCGATTTTCGACGTGCTCGTGTTTGTGCTTTTCGTGCACACTGTTCAACGTTCGTTCTGTTGAGATGGCGGACCAAACACACCGGCGGAGGTTTCGATTGCGCGGGCGCACCAAGGCTGAGTGGGACCGAAAAGGGTGGGTGAAGGAACCGGCCAATTTAGTTGGGCCGAAGAACCAAGCGAAGACCTGTCCTCAAGACTTGTTCCCTGTAGCTTTGTTGAGCCTGTTGAGCAACATGGAAATGTCAGTGGCCCGGCACCTGGCTTTGGCATGTTGTTCTTTACAGATTTGGTTTTGTCCACAAGTGAAACCAGGGAATGCACTCAACAATCCCATGTGTCCCGTTGTGATGTGGACGTACTGCGCACCCAGGGTGCCGATTTCAAGACCACCACAAGGCTCATAAGACTCCGGACACTCCATGGGACTGCAACATATTGTTGCATCGACCCGTTTTAAAGCACGCCGGTGTAGGTAACAGTGTCATGCAGGGAGTGTTTGTGTATGATATGGTATGATTGTGTTCTTCTGGTACCAAAATTAGCAATACTCCCCCATATAGCTGTGCAACGGTACCGCTCTTCCAGAAGAAAACCAGTCTATGCATAGCTGAAATGTGCCCACAGTGATGTACTGTCCACGCCCTAACCCACGGTGCCAGGCCGGGGAACACCACGGAGTTTGCAGTCTTATCGAGGAGGGCGCGGGTTGGCGAATTCGCGAGAAAGAGGTGGCACAGGTCTCGGAACTGTGAGTGGGGTGTGGAAGCCCTTACTACATTACATTCAGTATATATGTTTCAGATTGTTTCAGTTACTATACTTTCAATATTTCACACAAACCATCATCCCTTTGTAAAACCGGTTGTACGGGAACCAGATGACTTCTTTCAATGTTTTGAGCGTAGCACGTGCATGTTCCCGTTCGACTCGTGTTGGGCCGTGGGAGGGGATATATCCCCCTCTTCAAACCCTTGACACGGGTTGCTGCTTGAAATTGGGAGGGTGCCAACTGGGTCCATTCCGGTCACATGGAGCCTGGATTCTGGCGGTAGATGCCACAGATGGAGAAAAACTAGGCAGAAATTGGACCCTTGGCTTGGATCAATGCCTTGTTGTGACATTGTGGGTCGCAGGTTATCAAATTCAAATCGTGAATTTTGCGATGTGTCTGAGCGAATGACGCAGACTGAGACCTTGGAGACACCAAGTCGACTGAGGACACCACATGCGCAAGATATGGAATAGTGGTTTGGAAACCGGATTCGTTTGTTTTTTGTTTCACAATCATCACGGTGTGAAGAAAGGTGTCACAGGGTTTACACCATAGTTCCATCAAGACTTTTGGAGAGCGGCCTCCGGGAAAGGGGAACTCGTATTTTTCGCAAGTGGGTGGGTTGCGCACTTGACGCAGCTCATGTGGCCACACAGTACAAGGACAGCCCATTCTTCCAAATTGTCCAAAAAGAACACAGTTAATTACGCCAATACGGCAAGGGTGTTAAATACACCAAGTCCATTGTCCCAACGGTTTTGGACAGTCCGGGCAATACGGAATGATACTTGCCGTATTGCCAAAACAGTTTTCGAGTTCACTAGGCCTTAGTTTGCCTTCGGATCTTAGCCGTTTGGGTTTCAGCTGAGCAACTGCGTAGAGTTTTCTCCACATCAGATCTTCCTTGGATCGCTCGCAATCACGGACTGGCCGGTCATGCTGAGCACTCCACCGAAAAAGCGCCTATATGATATGACTTGTGATGAGCTGCGGTCCACCTGTAAGAAGATGGGCCGGAAGCAAGCAGGGACCAAGGCAGGGCGTTTCGAAACATGTTGCGAAGCAGGCGTGGGACATGGTGGGCCTACAATAAGCAAGAAGGGAAAGGCTCAATGGGTCAAAATTGCTCATGATCCATGTTTGTCAGGTTGTAAGACTCTCAATAGTCCCAATAAGATTGTATCCGACCAAATAAGTGTGTGTGATTTCAATCTTGACTAGCTTGACCTCGGGCCAATTCCGATTCGAGACTCTTCCTGAAGATTTGATACGAAGTGATTTAAGACTGCATCTTCAGCTCATCAGGTGTGAGCCCCTTGTTCGCTGTCATGCCTTTTCTCTTGTGGAGGCTTTAAGGGTGCATTTCACCATCAAGTACTAGACTAGACCAACAACAACATGATTTCCACATGTCGTGTGCTGATTGACCAATGCAATGGTATCATGATGGCACCATGGTAAAGCAGTATATAAATATACAATATAACTATAAGAACTCTCGTTGCTGAAGGGTTTCAGAGAAGACGCAACTCACCCAAGCCCGGAAGCACCCGAAAAAGGGACTCATGTTGTAGTTGTGAAAATTTGCGGGTCTGTCAACATCCAAGTCTTAGCGTGTCCGCCAAGTCTTGGCGTACCTTTTGACTTTTTCTTTGCCAAGCTGCAGGGGTGAAGCGATAAGGATCACCAAATCCCAATCTACTTCAGTGGATCGCCCCACTGCGGTTTTGCACGCGACAGGCAGAGCTCCAAGCCCGTTTGAAGGATCCCAACAACCTCAATGGGCGTGGTTGGGCATGGCGGCATGGTATGATGGCGGGCGGCCCAAGGACCTATGTGGCCTCAGGCCTCTCAGCCTCCAACAGTGGATGTTTGGAAGCTTCGTAGAGTTGGGACCTGTTCCCAGAGAGACTGACGGTGGGGCCCGTGGGGATTTTTATGTGGGTTTGCAGCAGGATTAGTGTGCCAAAGAAACCATTCAGTTGGAGAAACCGTGGATGAAATAGTACCCAGTCAGGCCGTCACCCATTGTAAATGGTTCAGCAGTGCACTGCCCCTGGATAGTTTTCGAGTTGTTCCAGCATGGGTCCTGGGTTGTCCAAACATTCAACTTGATGCTGTTTATGAAGGTTGAAGAATCGTTGCGGCAAATCTGTTTGGTATTACCCAGGTGCGAAACAAACATGTTTTATGTTCGGTTCTGTGATTGAAAGCAAGCGTTTCTCTTCTCAGGTGAGCATCGCAAGGTGTACAAGCAGGCCTACACCAAGGGCCCTCGCAAAGGTCAATGGGCGGCATCGAAAGAGTTCAAGACAGGTTCTGCGACTTGGTGTTTCAATCGGGGCATAGCGGCGCCACATGGGTCAATTGAAACTAAGGATTACGTTTGGTTTGTCAAATGTTTGGGAAGTTCTCAGAACTATGCATCCGGCGTCGGTGTGTGTCAAAACAAAGAGTCTCAGCCTGACCAAAACACCAAAAACTACCACTTGCCATCTATATAGTGGGGAAAGTACATGAACTTGTGTGACACAGCTACATTCCGTGCTGGTACAAGAAAGATTCATGCCAATCTGTTGCACCCATCTGAGGTCTTTGAGGAGAAGTTCTTTGCAAACGATATCCATGCTGCAAAGAAGGCGGCGGACATCTTGAAGAGCTTCAACCAGTACACTGCTGGCATCTCCGAGCCTATTCCGTTGGTGCACATGAACATGCCAGAAGTGTGGACACAGGTGGGTGGACCCAGGTCTTTGCCAATCGTCCGGATGGTTCGACATGTGACAATTTAATCCCACCAGAGGCATCCAGGACTTTCACAACAATGTGGCAAGTAGCATAGACTTTAGTATTGTTGAAGTCCAACAGTCATGTCTTTGGAGTGCACCCCTCGCTGTTTCTTTAACGGCGGCGAATGGTAAGTTGTTGTTTTGAAGGAGCGCATGATTCTGATATGTAACTGTTCTCAGGTGGATGGAACTGAGAAATACTTGATTGAGCCGTTCATCAAAGGCGCCTATGAAAAGTTCAATTCCAACAGCGGCTGGGCCAACATGTCTCATCCTCTTATGCAAGCCTTGAGCCACTACTCTTGGCACTCCACAGAGGGTGCGCATCCTGGATGGTTTCAGATGCTGGTTTTGCGTTCGAACGGCGCGTACGACGTACGCGCCGTTGTGTGGCCGAAGACCCCCCGCAAGGCCCATGAAGGCCCTGGTTGGTTCGTTTTCATGGATTTCAAGGAAGGCCCAAGTACGACTCATTGTTCCTTGTGGAGTCGTTGTCATGTTTTCTCTTTGGGGTGCGACTTGCAACTTTGACTCACAAACACCTATCACTTGCACCATTGACTATTTGGAAGCAGTGGGTTGGTTGGTGTCTCCAGTGGCCAGAGTTTTCAGCTGGTGCAGGATTGTGTCCATCGGACTGTTGCTTGAACGTCTAGGCATCAGAAGTGTCAGGCTCTGATGCAGGACATGTCCGGCCCCGAAGTGCTGAAAATTGCATTGTGTTTTGGGTGACAGGTCGGACGTTCCGGGTCTATGGGCGGCCATGGGTCGTTTGTAATTACAGACCATCCATTTCGTTCCGTTCACTACATTCCACAAGCCATGCTTCCGCCAGGGGTCAGGACCCCGTGGTATCAGTAGCATGACAGGGGCCCCCACCTACTGGGCATGGTTTCTTCAACTGAGCAGCATTGAAATCATCTACCGTCTGTTCCAAAGAAAGCTTGCTGGAAGTGCCTTTTTGCAGGGCCAGGCCAGAGGATCCTGGGTGATTCGTGGTGTATATCGTCGGGGCCAAAGGGTGGTAACGACACCGCCTGGTAACGACACCGCGCAGTAGCTGAAGCGCCGTAGGTACCTGGTGTGTGATCTTCAAGGCCACTTTGATGGTGAGAGCTACTTGCTCACGGACCCAGTTGTTCTCTCCAAGAAAGAAGAGTTTGGCGTGACGGATGGTGGTCAGATGATGATCGAGAACTTCTTTGGGCATCATGTGTGTGGCAGGCACCGCGAGGGGATCCCAGATTTGTTGAAAGAACGCACGGGTCACGGTCAAGCCACACTGTTGGGTGTTTGAAATGCTTGAAAGGTAGTTGTTCCAAATTGTTCCATTTAAGTAATTACATGACATAGAGAGAGTATACAGCCTATGGACGGACACGAAGTACCGGAAGAGTGCACGAGTGTGCTGGTGATAATGATCCCAACTCAAAAGTCTGGTGATCGGAGGCTTGTGGAAGGATCCTTTACGTGTTAAGCCTCGTGAGTAGTCAGCACATACCAGCTCTTTGGACTGAGGGGTTGGTAGAGGGTAGAGGGCCTAGACCAGTTTTTTGGTACATGGGTTGCTGGGTTGGTCGGCGGCTGAGTTCCACCCGGGAGGTACTGCAATCCAAGGTGGGGCAAGCCTGCCTCAGCTCTGCCACGAATGCAGCCTCGCAGTGGCACCAGCTTTTTCCATCATCGTTTGTGAGGCGGTTGGAAGCCGAAGCCATTCCCAAAAACCATGATCTTGTTTGCAGAAATGATTTCTGTTGCAGAAATGCGACCTAAACCTAATGAGGGATGTCAGCTTGTTTTTGGAGCTGGGAACGGAACCGATCGCAGCTGCGCTAGTCGCGCATAATTCGTTGCAGCCTTTGCTGCAAACGTTTCTGAGGATGTTTGGTGCAAAGGTATAGGGGTATACCCAACATGTCCGGGCCGTTTGGACATGTGTGGGCCTCAATTCACCATGCCAGGACCATGGTGGGATTCAAAAGGGGTGAAAACAGGGGGCGAACTGTTCCCTGAGCTCTTGCGGGGTACAAGCTGCATGTCCGCAAGCCTGCTTGGGAGTAAAAAGGTCGTGGACTTTGGGCCTGAAGAGGCGGGGAAAGAGGGATGTGAGGATTGCTGGCTGCTGACAGGAAGAGGAAAACATTCTCACCTGATCTCTCTTGCTGAAACATCTTCAAGCCATCCAGCTTTTTTACAGGTTCCAAGCTGTTTTCTTGCCTTGTGAACCGCGGTTCTTACCTGTGGATCCACATCAAATCCCCCCCAACGGTCACCGTGTTGGCATTCTATCTTCATGAAACGAATGTTGGGCGGGTCTTTCGTTAGCGGTCACAGACCTCGAGCTTGAAAGTCAACTCAAGCGTTGCCCCAAGGAATCCGTTTCCTTCGTGGCCTAGGGGTGCCTCGTGGACGTCCGCACCGGGTGCCCTTGTCTCGGTCGGTCGGACCGGAACACGAGTTGAGCCGGACCGTTCGCGGTGTCTCGTTCGCTGGGCGAGTCGTTCGCATGATGAAGTCATGGCGAACACCACATGGCCTTGAAACAAATGGGTTTTATCACCGTTTTTCCAAGCAGTTTAGACATGTTTAGACTGTTTAGCGCCTAGAACTTTAGGGAATGGCCTATGGCCCTGGTCGGCGCACGTGTCAGAATCTCCCCGCTGCTCCGGCCGCCCACGACGCGTCCTTCCCGCTCTCGCTCTCGCGTCAGCAGGAGCTCTGGTGCCCCTGGTGTTGGCCGGCCGAGCTGTGTGGAGACTTCGAAGGATCGGACCGAAACTTGGCCTTGCCGGGCGAGTCGGCTGCCGAGTGCTTAAAAAGACCGACCTCCTGTTGTGTGGATCCACTGGAAGTTCTGACTCATGCGGCTGTGGCATGTTTGTTTTTATTCCTTGAGCTTTTGTGTAACATGTATTTATTCTTATATCCCAGATTGTATCACCTTGGAGTAGAGCCACGCGTGATGAACACTAGCTGAAATGAACTCAGCACTTTTACAATGGACATCGACTACTCGCACCATTGTTATGCGCATGGTGCAATACAATATGCGCTAGGCCTCAAAAAAACAAAACAAACGCCTTTACTCAGGCAGTGGTCTTTGGGTTACAACCTGAACTGCTTGGTTTTCGGAGACACGGCTTTCCCGCCGCAGGACGGACACACGGCGAGCTTTTCGACAGGCGTTCCGGGTGGGTGGATGATTTGACCGGTGTTTCGGGGTGGGTGACCCCTGTACCGTCCTTGTTCCTATTAGTATGGCCAGGAGCCCCTAGTAGCGTCCTTATTCCTAGTAGCGATGCCCTTTGCTCCTAGGCCCCTGGGCTGCTGGTGAAGCATGCTGGGTAATTTTGGGCAAAGGAGAAAGTTTGGTAGCTGGCTCTTGTCAATCCAGCAAGTGAACACGAGAGGTTGCTGCAACCAATGGTTCTTGATGCCGACAGGCGAATGGTTTCTTGACAGGCAAGGCCGGTGGTAGTTTGGGTCAGGTGAGCACTCCAAAGGCACCAAACACATCGCTCAGGCTTCCAGGGGCTCCATGGTAGGGCCGCTCCAATATGATCAATAGGTATGCCATGGTATGCCATGGAAACGTTGAACAAGGGGAACCTGAAAACCACTGGGTTGTAGATGGTTGTAGAGGAGAAATTGTCGTCCAAAGGTCCCTTTTTTCAATCCGTTAATCTTCCCAGGTGACGTTGTTGTCTCGTCGGTTTCACTGGACCCTCCGGATGGGGCAGTTGACAACCAGCGACCGGTGGATCAACTCAGGTGAGTGAATGTGAAACGAAACGCTTCGAATTGAGCAGGTTGAAAACTAAGGATTTGTTGATTGAGTGAACCAGTGGCAATGATGAGTGATAGTATGATTTCGTTTAGCCAACTTGAGTTTGCCTCAAGTTTGCCTCTAGAGCTCATAGGTCCTAAATGCTCCGCATAGAGCGGGATCATTCATGATCATCCCCGCCCACCAGCCACTTGCCTTGAAGCGCGTGGAGCCTTCTGCCTTCGCGACATGGAGCCTGTTGCCATGGAGCGCCTCACAGAGGCATCCTCAGATGGATGGGAACAGGTGGGCCAGGTGGGCTGATGGGTGAGGGGGATGGGAGCAGGGCGACGGGATGCGACTGGATGGACTACGTTGGGATTAGTGAAGGTGCTGCAGGTGTGTGTGTGTGAGAGAGAGATGTTTATAAAAGTCACATGGGATGTTTGCTGATCAAGTCGTTTGAATACAAAGTTTGTGAAGTTTGAGTGTGTGTTTGGATCACCGGATCGCATGACGTTCGTGTATAACTGGCCACAGACCCAGCGAGTGGCACGATGAAACGAAGAACACCACAAAAGGTCACGGAATTGTCATTGGCAACCAGTGTCCCTTGGCCGTGAGTCACAGCGGAGCCTGAGAAACACTCACCCTGGAGCCTGGTTGACCTTCGAGCCATGAGTCGGTTCTGATGATTTTGGGTGCTCAGAACCAGGTACGGTCGAACCACCCAGTCGGTGCCACCGAAAAAGACCAGACGCAGCGTCTTGACGCTTCACGACCCATGGACCGTTTGGGGCGCGTTGATCCACGGAGGACAAGGATCCGCGCGGGGTCCGACGTGATGCCGCTCGACCTGGTCATGTGCGACGGGAGGTGTGGGAGCCCGATCCGGAGGGTCCTCAAGCTCGACTGCATGAAGAACTGGAAGCCACCATGAGGGAGGCACAGGAACACGGTTGCAAGGCCGGAAGTCGCGGCGTTTTCATCAAGGCCCTGAAGTGGACATGGAGATGAAATGATCCGCTATTACTGTGACAATGATTTAGCTAGCATGTTACTGTTGTTTTTGGGACATTCTTTGTGGGGAATGTGATAATGTGGAGTGAGGGATATAGTGAGGGCAAGGGTGAGATGTAAGCTTTCCAAAAACTACCATTTCTGATGGGGCGTTTCATGGTGGCTGCCGAGCATGGTGAAGCACCCTGACCATCCCTGACCCAACTATTTAGCAAGTTCAAGCACAATCCCTTCAAGTCAATGACCATATATAACTATTACCATTTCAACTAGTTCATTGGAACTCTGAAGACATGACCTCCAATTTACTTTCGGATGACCCCTAATGTTGGATCCTGATTAGTAGGGTCCTCTATAATGCTAAGTTTTTGAACAATAATTCTGGAGCCCCTGTTTGTTTGAAGGGTCCTCTATTATGCTACATGTTTATTATTCTAACTTAATCACCAGAATCCCACATGAATTACTGGAGGGATTTTCAGATCTTCTGTTTCGATGGACCGCACCGTGCTGCGCGTGCTTGTTCTCCGTCCAGGGTCGCTCCCCGGACGGACAGCGGCCGACGTCCCGGACTCGGACGAGAACGGTTGCGTAGGAGTCCCACCCAGTCCGGACAGCCGGCCCTTGGAAGTTCACATCTGTGGATCGGATGAGCCACAGATCTCCCTCCCCTGGAGGTTGACCGCTCCGTCATGAGCCGTCGGTGAAATCGAGCCCGGGCTGATGCAGGTGCAGTTTCTAAAGAAAGGCTGCCGGACTTTGATGCAAGCCAAGTCACAGGAGTTCCGGAAGCCAAGTCGCAGGAGTTCCACCACCAAATCGTTCAACCCACTGAGCCACTGTCACGATCTCATGGAACTTGAGAAAGAAGACCGGTGGTTTCGACCATTTGACCGAATACCAACCCAGTGTTTTTGAGATGTTTTTGGGGTTTCATGTGGTCCTCAGTCCTTTGCAGGGGAGTACACTGGACAACAAAGGAGCCGCAGAAGGCCAATCGAGTGTCCGCGTATAGACACATCCGCCGGGAGAGTTTTGCGCCATGCAACTGCAGCAGATATGTTTGTACTAAACGTATTGGCACGGTCTATTGTGTTTAGCTGCATCTATTTTGGGGGTCTAAACTAAGCTAGTCACTGGGATTTGTGTCAAGAGTGTGTATATATACACGCCTAGTTGACAGTAGGTATGAAAATTTTTGAAAGGTCCTTTGGTTTTCTTTTTTAGCAAAAGGGCATAGCGAACACCTAGAAGAAAACATCAGGACATCAAGCAATGTTGGAGCTTGCTCTTGATGGTGGTTTGGGGGTCTTAGGTTCATGCATTCAACAAAAGCGGACCAAACATAGCTGATTGTGCATCCCACTCCCGTCATGGCTTGTACAAGGCTGGCGCGGACCTACAGGTTTGTCACATCTACAAGATATGCAGCAGGTGAGATCAAGAGAATTGTTTCCAGATGTTTCGGGCGTTTCCAGTTCGGCTCCCCAAATGGGTGAATTTCAGCTGTTCGCTCTCCTTGTCTCGCAACCTGGCCGCCCCGGTCACGCGATGAGGAAGTTGGCCGAAACGCACGACGAGCGGCGGTGCACGAGGAATGTGTTGGACTCTTGGTTGGAAAGTGGTTCTCGCCCATCGTGGCCCATGGTGGGCTGAGGCGCAGGTCAGGACAGCGCCAGCCCACCCAATAAAAGTCATAGGGTAGCCATGACCTACGAGTCACCTGTGGTTTCAATGAAGAACTGGGGATGATGGCGAGTTCGCCAGCTACGCACCGGCTCCGCCTTCGGCTGAGGAGCTGTGGCGCTTGGTGCTGCGCGCCTCGCGCTTGCGGCGGCACCGGCTGCGCCGCGCCTGGGAGTCCTGGCAGCTAATGCGAGCGGAGAACGTGAAGCTCACAGCTGCTCGGAGTGGACGAATGGTGTGGCCGAGGAGTGGTGATGGAGTGGTGATGAAAGGCCTTCAGGTGTGGGCGAGTGGGGGCACTTTTGGGAGAGAGGGGTGAAGATTTTGTTCTTGGTGATGCTTGGTGTGGGGGAGATGCTAGAGGATGGTGATGGAGTGGGGTTGAAGTAAATTAGCGGAGCGTTCTAAGTATCTGTGGATTGGAAAGTCAGTCCGGGTTTCTAACATACACATGCTAGATCCTGTTAGCGGACCTCATGAACCATAGTGCCATAGTGCCATAATATGGTGGATGGACTGACTGGGCTGTGAAATATCAATTGTGCTCGCTGGATGATATACCTAGAACTCAATTGAACCCTGTTTTGATGGGAAGTTTGTTGGTATTTTTTAGGGGGGGTTGGTCCTCCAAAACAGGGTCAGTTAAATTATTGCTATGCAGCTATGTGATGAGTCTCGGACGATCATTGGCACATTTTGACCGTCAACCGTTCACTGTAAACCCCCACCTTCTCGGATTTCAACGCAGAGTTCGGACCTAAGTGGGGGTTCATTGAAAATTATACGTACTAAGCAAACATACGCAAACATTATGCAGTAATCAAACACACAACTCCACAGACACCTGCATATAGGGGTGTCCACAATGTTTTTTGGGTGGTAGAAGAAAGTTAGGAGCCGACTTTCAACTACTGGCAAGTCAGCTGATTCAACCTCCAATCCCAGCTTCCACTATGTAGGTAACAACATTCACACTCCCGAAAACTAACATAGACCCTGATACCCTGACAATGGCTCCCTGGAAGAGTGTTTTCCTCCACCAACCAGTGGTTTTCAGAGTCCATGTTAGTCTTCCAGGGTGTAAGCCTTTGAGCTCGACACGATAGGCATATCATACGTAGCATTTCGTTGTTGTCAAAGAAACACATGTCATGTGCCACTGCTCAGATGTGATGTTCACCTGATGGTCCGGCGATGTTTCAACCGTTTGTTCCCATGGTGAATAGTATCAGTTAGTTGTCGCAACTGAATCCACCACAATAGACAGCACCACGATATCTCCGCCCGCGGCTTTGGTTTTTCATAGCGCATGTCCACCGAGGTCATGTTGGAGGATTGCAACCGGTCGCAGGGTGGTCGCGGGTGGGGCCAATGGCGCAGATCAACATGGAATTGCAAAACCACTGTGCTGGTCTTCGGAGAATGGTCTTTCAACCATGCGGTCTTCTTTCTCAGGTTCGGGATCGTGACAGCGGGAGAGTCTGGTGACTTGAGAGTCCGAGAGGATGATCTGAAGGACACGTCACCCACCGGGTGCACCCGTTGTGCCACGTCGAGCTACGCCATGCGAACGGTTTTTTTCGGTTCGGAACGGCACGAACGAAACAACGCTAGCTATAGTTGGTGAAAGTAAAAACTATGGTGTTCAATGATCCCCTTTCATTTCAGGGTCCGCGTTCTGGTTTGCGATGCATTGGGAGTGGGTCATGGCTGCAAGCTCTTCGGATCAGGGTATGGGTCTTCTCTAGATTGGGACATGTTCTTGACTGAAATCGATTCTCAAGTCCCATTTCCTCCAATTAGATGTAGCCGACCCGGCCAATGAAGACACAACTGCAGAAAAAGGATGTCCAAAAAACTATAGGCTAGGCATTTGCCCGAAACCTCAGTCAACCAAAATCGACGGCAAGGACTCTCCCGACATGTTTAACGCCCTTTTATAAGAAAGCCCGACATGGATTGGTACCGGCTAGAGGGAATCAAGGTTCACCAACCACATCGAGGGTGAGGGAGATCAATGACCCAATGGCTTGGGAAGGCAGGTGTATTTTTGTTACTGAGTGGGGTGTCTTTTTGATGTTGTTTGCATTTGTGCTACTGGTAGTGAGATCTGACACAAGTAATGTACTTCGGAAGAAACATGTCAAAGACGAAAAGATCGCCATGCAGCGGCTCAACATGCTTTACACTTTTCGGCGACTGGGACTCTACTAGCAACAAAGGACATCGCTACTAGGAGCTCCTGGCATTAACTACTTAGTAACAAGAAGCTACTAGGAGCAAGGGCATCCTTACTAGTAACAAAGGGTTGCTACTAGCAGCATTCTTACACTATATAACCAGAAGCTACTAGATTGTTGCAATGGGTAGAAATATGACATGACCAGACCGGCGCCTTCTACTCTCGGTGTCGACCCACACCACACTCCCCGCCGGTCTAGACCGGTCGTCGACCCAGAACCGAGGTAAAGAGCAGCAGGTGACGCTTCAGAGCGAGCTGAAGCGCTTCAAAGCGACTGCAGCTGGGCTCCTGTCGGCGTCTGCGCTGGTGGCGGCTGTGCTCTTTGTTCTGAGGGACAGGCAAACACCTTTCCCGGATGGGGGGTCAATGGAACGAACTGACCGGCTACAAATCCAAATAGGACGTTCTTCTCACGCAGTGGCAGAACAGGTCCTATAACTCAGTCATGAGCAGTTGATTTGCCCCCATGTCATGGTTCTCCACTTCGCTGGACACGAGTCCCAGACCGACCCAGAAAGAAACCGAATTGGGAGGGACTTCATGAATCAGCTGGCCATGACACACTTCGAACTTGGGTTTTCAGTTAACGCAATTGTCTCGTTGGGAAGGAAGGCGATGGAACAGCAAGGTGGAAAGGTCAGCTTAAACTGTATTGTTGAACAATGTTGGCACTCGCAAGCGGCGGAAACGCGAACCGGCTGCACAGCTGCTGGGGACGAATGTTTATGGGGTGGAAATCGTGAAGAACCATGAAACAAAAAGTGGACAAGTGGAGTAACAGCTTGTGAAAGAACGAGCAGGTACACGGAAGTGATCAGCTTCCGCATCCTAGGATCTTGCAAGGAGCTTCGTTGGGCAGAGCCTTGCAAGTCCTCTCTGCCCCCCTGCTCATGTAGGGTAGAAAGAGTGGTGGTGGAAAACCCTTTGTCCAGGGTTGGACACACACAGGTCGCCGCGTTCGGCGCTTTTTCAAAAACCGGTGGCAGGCGTGATAGTTATGCCCCTTTTGGACATATAGATTCACAAGTTCAGCCGCGGCAGCGTCAGCGCTGGAGGGTGGAAATGTGTATTTTCGAATGGTGTGAAGTCGTGATTGGAGGCCTGATAGAGCCAAGCGCTGGCTCCCGGCAGTGGTGGAATCCCGGATTTTCCAGGGTTGAGAAGGTTGCATGTAGTTGATGGTGCGTTGTGGGAGGTCGATGTTGAAACCGAGGAGATGGAAATCCTCCACCGGTTCTAGTTCCACAGGGTCGCCAAAGAAATTGTGGTGGATAAGGGTTTGGATAGCCGGGTGTTGAAGGAAATGTTCGTTGTGGACAATGAAGCGGTTGTCGACATAGCGATAGTAAGTGAAGTGGAGGTCTGTGTGTTGAAGGAGGTTGTTGTGGATCTGATGCCAGGAGTGCTCAATGAGAGTGATGGCAACGTTGCATAGGGCTGGAGAGAGCTGGGATCCAATCCCGGCTCCTCGGATTTGTTTGTAAGTGTTGTTGCAAGCCCGGAAAATGCATGTGTTGAGGGCGAAAGCCACGATGGTGGTGATGTCGGAAGTCTGGATGGTGCGTTGAGTAGGGTGTTTCCGATGGTGTCTGCCAATGTGTGAGTGGTGGAAAGGATTGCCGGTGGCCTGGACATCCACCGTTAGGGTGTGTGTGGATTGCTGTTGTTGCCAGTGGTGGACGAGGGAGTGGACTGCATCGATGAGTCGGTGCTGGGGGGCAAAGCATGGGAGTATGCTGTGGGGAGTCTTCCTCCTTTTTCGTAAGTTCCAGCTTGGGATCGTTGGTGGATGACTCAACGGCTTCTGCCTTGGTGAGGTGTGGTGTCTCATCCTTCACTTCGATAGACTCTGTGGGAGTGCGATCCCAGTCGGGAGAGTCGTAATCCATGGGGTGGTGAGAAGGCGAAGTGAGTTGTATGAAGCGGCCCGTCGAGAGTTCAAATGGCTGCGGAGATAAATGTGTGACTGCTGGGTGGGAAAAAAGGAGATAGTGTGAAGAAAACTGAAAGGACGGATTTTTCACTCCGAGCAAAGTGTAATGTGTGAGACCAAGCGTTGTCCGGGCGCCTCAGGGAGAGGAGGACGGTGTGTCAGCTAGCAGGTGGCAAGCTGCCGAGGAGGTGGAACTGGAGTTGGAGGCCGTCCAAAGTGCTTGGTGCAGGTGTCCGCGGTGGCCGGGAGCTGCGAAAGGTCGGTCTGGGATGGTCTGGTGCCGAGGGGTTGTGTGGTTCGGCTGTGAGAGTGTGGTGAGAGGAAGCCGGTCTCGGGAACGAGATCTGTCCCTGCCACTGAACCGGCGAAGGAGTGGTGGTGTGTTGGTGGGTGATGGTGTGGCTGGGGTGCGTTGAGAGGTGGCTCTAGAGAGGAGGTTGGTTTGTTGTGGTGGGATGTCAAGGGTGGGATCAATGCGGTAGTGGCCAGGGGAGCCTGGTGAGCCATGAAGGAATTGCAGCCTGTTGAGTCCACGGCGGGCGTCGTGGGTGGTGTTGATCAAATGTCGCAGTGTGTTGCGTGTCTGCAGAAAAAGTCTGTAGGCTGGTGTATTGGTGAACGTAGACATTGGGGGG